GAAGCATCCTGCGCTCATGGGCCAGAGTTATAAAGTAGCTTGGGCAGAGATCTGGGATGAGGTCAAGGGAGTATTCGCAAACGCCCGTCTCACAGGGCAAGCGACTATGAAGGACGACGACTGCTTGTTTATGAAACGCAGCGGCTTCCTTGAGGAAACGTACTTCTCGTGGTCCATTATCCCAATGGTCGGCGAAGACGGCACGGTCATGGGTCTTTACAACCCAGCTTTCGAAAAGACACGGCGGAAGATTGCGGAAAGGCGAATGCTCACTCTCCGCGAAGTCGGCGAACGGACTGCCACCGCTCGGGAAGTAAAGGGTTTCTGGGATCAAGTGCTAATAGCACTCACCGAGAACGAGTTCGATACCCCGGTAGTAATGCTCTACAGCGTAAACGATGAGAATGATAGTGACTCGTCTTCCTTACAATCTAGCAGCTTGCTTGGCTCGAAACAGTGTTTTCTCGAGGGCTCGCTTGGTGTGCCAGCCGGCCATCAAGCTGCTCCTGACCACATTGATTTGAAAGAAGGGCAAGAAGGATTCGGGCCGGTTTTCCGCGAAGTAATGAAGACCGACAAGCCCGTGGTTGTTAGCATCGGATCAGCCGACCTGCCACATTCCATGATGGACGGACTCGAATGGCGAGGGTTTGGAGATCCCTGCCGCGACGTGGTCATCTGCCCGATCCATCCTACGACTGGTGAAAACATACTTGGCTTCTTAGTCATGGGCATAAATCCGCGAAGGCCTTACGATGACGATTACAACCTCTTCATCCAGCTATTGAGTCGTCAACTCGCGACCTCTCTCGCTTCCGTCGTTTTGTTCGAGGAAGAAATTCGACGGGGGCAGAGGGCAGCCCGGCTCGCAGCGGAAGACCGTTACAATCTCTCTACACAGCTTGCTGCACGTACACAAGAAGCCAGGGAAAGCGAGACGAGATTTACGCGGATGGCTGAATTGTCTCCTGCGGGTCTCTTCATTGCTGACCACGTTGGTCGCATAACCTACTGCAACGACACATGGTATGAGATTGCGCGAGTGCCAAGAGAGCCGGAGATGACCGACAGATGGATCGACTATGTCAAAGACGAGGATCAAGACCTCATTCTTGCGCACTGGAAGGAACTAGTAAACAACACAACTCCTATCAACATAGAGTTCCGATTCAAAGCGCCTTGGGAGGACCGCAACCGGAACAAGAGTGAAACGTGGGTCTTGTTCCAGGCATACCCTGAGAAAGATGAGGATGGGCAGCTGAAGAGTGTCTTCGGAAGCATCACGAATATTTCTCCACAGAAGTGGGCCGAGGGTTTCCAAAAGAGGAAAATGGAGGAAGCCGTTGAGCTCAAACGACAGCAGGAGAACTTCATCGACATTACGTCGCACGAGATGAGAAGTACGATACTGCCGTGTATGAAATTTCTTCTTATACTGACTACGATTTAGATCCCCTCTCTGCTATCCTGCAATGTGCCGACGAGATCAGCACCATCCTGGGCGATTTCAGGGCGTCAGGCTCCAACGTCATTGACGAGACTGTTTTGGCCGATTCTATAGACGCGGCGCAGACGATCGCTTTGTGCGCACAGCATCAGAAGCGCATCGTCGACGATGTATTGACGTTATCAAAGCTCGACAGCGCAATGCTAATGGTACGAACACGATCTGCGTTATTGCAACATTTTCTAACGAGTGCGTCAGGTAACACCGGTTGACGCTCAACCACTACAAGTCGTACAGCGCGCCCTGAAAATGTTCGAAGGAGAAGTTCAAACGGCTGGTATCCAGATGGAGTTTGTCCTTACCGATTCGTTCACCAAATTAGGTGTCGACTGGGTGAAGATTGACCCGTCTCGGGTGCTCCAAGTTCTCATCAATCTCACCACCAACGCGATCAAGTTTACTACCACCGAGGAGACCCGGACCATCAAAGTCGTATTATCAGCATCGAGAGAGCGACCGTCAGCCAGCGATCATCCTACTGTTAGCTACTTCCCCATGCGAGCGAAGAGGACCGACCAAACTTGCGGTCCGGACTGGGGCGATGGTGAAGAGATCTATCTGGAGTTTGCAGTGCGAGACACAGGCCGAGGTCTTACGCCTGAAGAAAAGAAGCTCCTCTTCCAACGATTTTCCCAAGCGAGCCCTCGAACGCATGTTCAATACGGCGGCTCAGGCCTTGGTCTGTTCATCTCACGGGAATTGACTGAACTCCAGGGTGGAGAGATTGGTGTTTCTTCAGAAGCAGGCAAAGGCAGTACTTTTGCTTTTTACGTCAAGTGTCGGAGAAGCAGCGAGCCACAAGAAGCTCTCGAAGTTCTTCCAACGCCATCCATGTCCAGGAAAGTTTCAAATGCGAAGGACAAGGGCAAGAGGGAGTTGCCTGCGCCGTCCAAGATTGCGACCAAGATAAAAGACTTTGCGACGATACCTGCCAAAGATGGCGATGCGTCAAAGCCGAAGCCAAAGAAGAGAGAACTCAAAGTTTTGATTGTAGAGGATAACCTTGGTATGTCGTTTGACGTTTCCCCTGCCGACATACTCCTACTAACACGATGCAGTAAACCAAAAAGTACTCCAGCGGCAGCTCCATAACCACGGTATCCAAACGACCGTCGCGAACCACGGCGGCGAAGCACTTGAAGCGCTCAAAGCGTCCACCTTCTGGGCCTCGCCCCAGCAGTCCCCTCTAGAAGACATATCGGTGGTGCTCATGGACAAAGAAATGCCAGTCATGGACGGTCTACAATGCACCTCTCAAATCCGGTCGCTCGAGCAGCAAGGCAAGCTCAAGCGACACGTGCCCATCATCGCCGTCACGGCCAACGCACGCAGCGAACAAATCGCAACATTGCTCGCAGCCGGCATGGACGACGTCGTAAGCAAGCCTTTTAGGATCGGCGAGCTAATCCCCAAAATCGAAGAGCTGGCAAGCAAATTCGGAAACAAGAAGATACCAGACGAAGCTACGCTCGCTGTGCCCGTCGGGCCGAGCGTGAAACCATATGGCGTATGAAAGAGATGGCGTTACGATTTCAGCAGTTTGGAGTCATGGACTGAGTCGTCGTTCTCCGACGCTACGGTTATGGGCGGTGGGCATGCATACCATGATGGCGTTAGGGAGTCGAAATTTGCATGGAAGCGGTATTACTAGCATGTGCTTTGGCATCAGTGTCTGTTGTTTTTGTTTACTGTTACCGTTTTTGGGTCCATTGGTAAATATGCATATGGAATATACCCCAGGGGAGGTTAGGCGTTTGGTCAATGGATGGTATATAGGCATATGCACTAGGATAGTTTGTGCAATGGATAATGAAGACTAGATGTTGGGATGAGTGAGTGAGGGACGTGACCTTGGGAGTGTGAGTGCTGCTTCTATCACCTTGGCGACTTCCTAGTGCGCAGATTAATCACAAGTAAGTGCGGCTTCACGCCCCTTCCATATCGATCGACTGCGCTGTCTTGGCACACCTTGTTTGCCCTCACCTCACCTCGGAAGGAGCACCCGTGCCACACTAGTCACACCTTCTCCAACTGTGCGATCGAATGCTGTGCTCCTCCACCACTCCCATTCCGCGAACTCACATCTCGCGACAGGCGGCCAAGGGACGTTCCTCACCCACGCAGAAGAACTTCAACAGCGACTACGCGCCAGCCATGTCCACACCAAATGGCAGTAGACGACGCCAGCCCGAGCGCAATGCTAAGGCGCGGACTGCGAAGGAGCAGATGGGTCAGAGGAAACGAAAGCACGGGATGCATGGTGCTACCCCAAATAGCTACTATCTCGCTATGTACGTGTGGTTCTGCCGTCTTAGAGCCTGGCTAACAATGCTACAAGAGCCCAGCGGAATGCTGACGAATCAGCACTGTTGCGCCTGCCCCCGGAAATTCGATACAGGATCTGGACCTACGCTGTGCGCGCGCAAACTGTAACGATAGGCCGCTGGTATTGGGAGGACAGGAACTACTACCCCAGACAGGGGATACTCCGAGTTTGCAGACAAGTACATGCCGAAACATGTTTGCTGCCTTACTCCAACAACACTTTCTGGCCGTTCAACATTCAGTGTCTTACGGTGTGGCTCACGCGTCGACTACCCGAACAACTAGCTGCTCTTCGAAGCATTGAGCTCTGGTGCCACGAGTACTCACAAGCCCCTCTACGTTTACTCCCTGGCTTGAAGCATGTCCGCGTGTACTGCATCTGCGATGGGCTGTGTCCTCTTGATCCACGACGCGGTAAAGTAATCAAAGAGAATTTGGCAGGCATCTGCGGGAACTCTGATCTGGAGATCCGAATCACACATGGATGATACTACGCGGGGACAATCCACCATGTAAGCTTTACTACAAGTAGTAAGCTATTGCACTTACTAAGACCCTGCAGTACATCGCCGAGATACTTAGCTTACCGCTCGTCGTATTATCGTTTCCAAAAAGAGCGTATGTATACCGGACGAGCGAATGCAAACAGACTTCAAAGGCATGGCTGTAGTTATCCGGGAGTCGAAGGTCATCTCAGAGTCAGAATCGATGCTGAAGGTTTCGTGGTCCTTGTGTTGATCTTGCACGTTTCGGTACCATACTCCAAGCGAACTAGACGGCACGGAATACATAGCGACTTTCTTATTTTGGCCATGATTCTACATCGGGATGCGTGATTGACGCGAGTATGATGTGAGCTTCAGAAGCTGTGCACAGCCCTTTAGCATTACGTCATTGTAGTCCCGTGGAACGGAGGGATGCGGCCAGAGTATGGGTTCGCTAAATACACGAAACTGTTACCGACCCAAAATCTCTTCATTCCCCATCTGCAGCTTCTTATTTCAACTTCTCATACATCAGAGCCCTCAGCGACATCGACGTTCTTCAAAGTTTCGCGGTGGCAGTTGAGAGGCCTCTACCGGTGCCGATCACTGAGCCCGTCAGAACTGTACGAAGCGGAAACACGAAAACAGTCAGGCCCAAACCCAAGACCCGCGCTGACAACGCAATGATTCGGAATAAGGGACACGGCTATTTGCCATCGGTACATCGCCTCCAGGACGATATGGTAGATGTGACACCATTCGGCAAATACGAAGCCATGTAAGTAGAGCCGATAACGGGTTCAGCACAATACAGCTCTCTTAGTACAGAACCGAATACTAAACAATTCAGCACCGAGATAAACATGCGGTTCTCACCCTTGCTCCTTCTACCTCGAGAGTTGCGCGATTATATCTGGGAATATGTCCTCGGAAGCTACCTCATCTTCAACACTCAACCCGAAAGGCCGCTCGCAATGGCCCATGACTCAGACCAATACATCAAACACCCTCTAACTATCCTGTGCGTCTGTCGTTCGACATATGCGGAAGCGCGCTTCATTCCCTTCGCCATCAACAACTTCTGGTACAGGCCTACACACTCACCGATGCCCAGCGATGTAAACGAGTGGTGGCGTAAGTTGATGCCTGCACAGTTCAACGCCATTCGTATCGTTTCAATGCATCTCGGAAGAGACATTACCGATACTGATATCCTGCAAGTGGAGGCTTTGGCGCCTTTGGTGGGATTGAGGAGGATTGTATTCAATGTCTATGCGGGCTACACGGGGAGTTGGAGAGACATCACTGATGAGAGGTTTCAGCTGATGAAGGATAAACTGGTTAAGAGGCTTGAGAAAGTGCTGTGCGCAGAGGGAGTGACGATCGTCTTCAAGGCATGATAAGGCAAGTGGATGTAGTCGCCGCCCTGGAGTACATTCACCAAGAATAATGAGGCTTATATTCTTTCTTATTACCTCATCGATGAGGAGTGTTCAAATACACCCTTCGTATTCCCGGTGCTCTCCCCGCAGAGATCCCCTCCTTCAGGGTCATTTTCGATGGGTTCAGCAGTTTCTCCATCCCCGCAATTACCAAGATCGCTAGACTTTGACAGCTACGAAGTGGGACGCGCCAGGGCGGCTTCTATTGCATCCGGGGCCGAAGGGTCTGCTGTCCTCGTATCCATGCGGTCTAGTTAGCTAGCAGTGCTGTTGCGGTCTACTCACTACGACGCCGATAGCCGAGCCTGCAGTCTAGTATACGATCGTCCAGACCGTTTGAGCAATCTTTGGCGAACATGCAGGCTCCTGCGACGCGGTTGCATCGTGTCGGTTGCATGTGATGTCGAATACGTAGCTCGGTGCCTCCTCCGTTTAACTTACACCTGCCTCTTTGGCAGTTGGAATGATGCACGTTGCCGTACCCAGGTAGGTGGGTACGATCGGATGACGCCGTACCTGTTCTATGGCACAACTCTTGGAAATCATCACCGTAACAGGCCAAGCTTTGCGTAGTAGAAGGCGCGGGCCGCATATGGCAGCGGCTACGGAAGGCAGTCCGGATCGCTGCCCACCAATAGGACGGTCAAGCGTACTTTAGCTTGGTGTGGCTGAACTCAATATCTCGCTGTACGAGAATGATTACTTTGATCTTGATATACACCTTCTGTGGCGGGCTAGGTTTGTAGATGTCTGCATGTGGGCTATGAGGAACGGCGCAGTGATGTTTCGTGCGTTCGCCTAAACGAGCAAGATTGAGGTCTGTAGGTTTCGCAATGCATACCTTTTGGGAACATGGGGCGTGCTATGCAGTCGATCTCGCATCCCAGTAAGTCCGTGGAGTATGGGGTGGTGTATGCATATGGATAGTCGTGAACGTGGTCGAAGTATAAGTAGGCTTCAATCCATGCGATACCTTCTCATCATCACAACAAGCAACCTTTATCCAAGAACCTTCGCTTCCTCCCCTCGATCTCCAAACAACCACAAATATGCACTTCAACTCCATCATCGCCGTCGGCGTCATGCTCTCAGGAGCTGTCGTCTCCGCCGCCGAATGCGGAGGCTACGGACTTTGCGGCGCCGTCCCCGCCTCGAGTCGCAACCAGCTCTACGCTGCTCGTCAACACGTCTGCGGTGACGGACTGTACAAGAACGATGGCTATTACCATGCTCCGGGTGGAGGCAGACTCTCATGGCCTGGAGGCTTTGATCAGCAGAGGTGCTGGGACGCGTTCGAGAACATTCTGAACCAGTGCCGTCCCGAGGGCGCAGGCCTTGGTAACCACTCTGGATCGTACAACTGGTATGGGAAGCTATACACGGTCAGAGGATGTAAGTTGAATTCCTGTCCTGGTTTGTGCTATGTTGGGAAGCTCATTGCTAATGTGTTTCCTGCGATGTAGGCAGCAACAGTCCTTACAAGGAATAAAGGGCGACACAATTCCTCTCGCCGCAACACGCATCTGAGAAAGTCGGGGTGAACTGAAGAATACATCAATGAGATGAACCAGAACTGCATACGATTGTTGTATCACGTAGGAGAAATTCTTCTCAGAAATTCGACTGAAGTTGTTACCTAATCTCCAGAGTGCAAAAGAAATGTGCCGCTATGTTTGCAAGGAAGGTTGGCAGGATGTTTTCATGTCCTGCTCGGCCACATCCAAAAACCTAAGAAGTTTTAATGCTCTGCAAGTCATCATCGTCAGCCAGTTCTTTTCCCTCAGCGTTCAAACGCTGGCCAAAGGACAAAGTCTGCCTCTCGGTAGCGGTGCTCGTACACAATCTTCACATCCGCAGATACCACCTCCTTTAGATAGCCCTCCAAAACCATCTTCACATCTTCGAACCGACGCTCAGCATTTGGATGCTCCGTGTTCAAGTAGAAAGTGACCTCTTTCAGACGAGAGAAGGCTTTCAAGCCCTCCAGCCTTCTTACATCGAAGTTCCCAATGACTGGTAGCTCTTTCCTGATTTGGATCGTGATAGTGATGGTGAAGGAAATATAGCGAATGCACTCCCACTGCGGACCTAAAAAGAGGGGTTTGCAAATGTTTAGCGAAGAGGTGGTATAGTACCAGTACTCATTGGTAGAGAAGGGAAGCAGCGCTGTCTCGTTGTAGACTTGACGGCAGGTGCATTGGAGAGTACGATATGGTGGGTATTTGGGAGGTGCGACAGCTTGAGTGCTGTTCTTGATCAAGATTGTGGGCTTTTCGCCGTGCCCAGCTCTCATGAAGATATGCAGGCCACTGTTGACATAGGCAAAGATCTTATTGCGCACTTCGGCCGGGAGACGGAGTAGAGGCGAGCTAACGCTGTTCCGGTGTGTACTTGAAGACGTCAGCAAGTAGAAAGACATTGCACAGTAACAAACTTACATGGCTATGACATCGGTTGCAGGCGGTGTGGCATCCAGCATACCGTCACCATTGTTGTTGAGACGTAGCTTACCTTGGGAGATGGCCTCGGCTTGCTCGACCTGGTTTGTGATAGACAGTGCCGCCAACTTCTGTATAGCCATCATCTCCTCATGAACGGGGTCGGTCAAATGCATGAATGCCGTTCGGTAGCCGCGCTGCATAGCTGTGGGAGTCGAGCTGAAGTGTTATTGTAAAGTGATTTGCGAGCAACGAGTGGAGTAATGTTGAGGGGTTCTAGTCTTTCTCGCGGCGGTGGGTGATGCGCTAGTGTTGTATCATGGTGAGAATAGACCTCGCTAAGTAATGCGCACGCGTAGAGCCTGCCGGAGTGCCAAGGTGAGGCTCGAGTACCTTCACCTTCACTTCCAGGATAAGCTATGTGTGGAAAGCCGAGATTATCATGAGCACGAAGACTGTTCGGAATGAAAGCGTTTAAACCGGCACTCGGAGTACAAGTGAAGCCGACAACAGTCTGCGTGAATGAGTAGGTGAGTGATCGGGTCTGCATGCGGTTAGCGCAATGGACCCTGGATATCTATCGATGTTTACAATGATCCATCTCCCTGTACCTCCAATCTCTCTTCTCTTTTCTTCTCCATCGAACAAACATGGCGAGGCCAAAGCCAACGGTAGTGAAAGATACGCTCCAGGCTCCAAAGCCGAAGAGAAAGATCAGGCCGGACTGGGCAATGCTGTCAAAGTTCAAAGTCAACGAGATGTGAGTAGCAGTTGCACTTCATGCAAGGAAAACACTGAACACTCTGGAGCCTACATTAACACTAGATCCTCCAATTTGCTAGTGTTATCATGGTGTAGTCTGCAGCTAACGAAATCAGATCTAAACGCAACTCTGTCGAGTCTCCTCTCCTGCGACTTCCAGCTGAGCTACGGAATCAGATATATAAGTATGAAGATCCCGGCGCATGCTTCCACAGAGTTGTACTGACGTCCCTTGTTAGATACGTCCTGGGCGGCGAGACTTACGAACTCTCTCCTCACGGTTACGCAGTCGGCAACGTCCCCCGCCTGCATTTCGTCTGCCGTCAGATCTACAATGAAACCTCGACGCTCCCGTTCTCACTCAACACCTTTTCCTTCTTGAATCCGTCTAGCCTATCATTTTTCGCAAGACCGCTATCGTCTTCACAGCGCAACGCTATCAAGACAATCCGGTTTGAACAGATGGGAACTAGTAGGAGTTTTTACACACTGTGGATGGAAACGTACAATCGCTCACACTTTCACTGGGCCATGCTGAAGGGGTTGCAAACGGTGCTTATTCAAAGTCTTTGCCAACCACGACACCTCACTACAGGGCAGCAAGAAGTGGAGATGCGAGAGCTGAAAAGAGTGATGGGGTCCTGCAGAGCGGATGTCACTATGCAAGAAAGCGGGTATTACTGTTATCGCATAGAGGATGGGCAGGAATGTGGCCCTCTCTCCGGATGTCGAATGCTAAGCTTGGCGAACGGTGGCTGAAGTGCGAGTCGTATACATGCTGTTAAATCCTGACGACTAGACAGTTCCTACTGCAATGTACACTCCTGCCTTAAGATAATCTTTGTGGAAGGCAACACGCAATTTGACCAGCCCTGGTGACAGTCGCGCAAACACAAGATCGCGATGTGACATGAATTCGGAGCTGACTCGAGGTGACGACGAAAAGTCAGCGCATCTGAACCGCCTTGCCTGGTCGAGATGCCTCGGTCAGTCGATATTCACATGCGCGTATATATGAAACGTGGAACACTCGTCACATGTGCTAGTGAGGTATATAGCATGAATATTAAATCTTTGTAAAGTCGTAACCAACCAATAAAGAAGAAACGTGTAAAAACCACCTCAACTCCGCCGCGCCCGCCACCACTTGACGAAGTCGCGTCTCAGCGTCGTCTTGAGATGCTCGTTGAAGCCATACGTGATGGCGTTTGCGAACCCAATGTACTGCGTTGAGCATTGCAGAATACTCAACGCATAGCTGGGATGGCCCGCAGCTTCCACCAAGCGGTTGAGAATACCAGGTAACCAGAGGATGATGTACAGAATAGGGTATGCGTTGAGGAGCAACATCCTCTTGATTTCTCGCTCAACCTTCTTTGTGCTGGTGGCGCCCTGCTGATTACTTCCCGATTCGTGGGGTGCGCCCGACTCGTAAGCCCCGGACATTGGCGCGGGATGGTTGCTGATCATGCCGATGCTGCGCTTCTTATCTGAGGGCGCAGTCATTTCTGAGAGGAAGGCTGGTAACCATTAGCATTGGCACGTTGTAGATAGCCGAGATGCTCGTGCGCATCTGCATGGGGAAGGACATACCTGATGCGGATTGGAAGTAAGGGCTTTTGGGTGACATGGGAGGGGACAGTGTAGTGGCGCTTTTGCGGCTGTTTGTCTCTAGGTCGCTAGCTGTGAAGATGATGTCCTCTTTTCCGAGGTTGGTGTCGCTCATGCCATCGGAGTGTTTTACTTCGTAGGCGTACTCCACGTTGATCTCATGCAGCTCCGTCTGCGATTCGCTCCTCAGCTCGTGGGCGTCGTCTCGGCGGAATTCGCGGCGCTTGGCAGCGCTGGCTTGATTGTATGACCCTCCTTGGCTCATGGAGTGCAGTTGCGAAAAGTGCCGACGCATGTAGATCCAGATGTAGATGTAGATTCCAATGGTTCCGAAGATGATGCTGAACCTCCAGCCATGGCCCAGGGCATAGCGCAGGTCAGTTCGCGTGCCCGATATCCAGCACCAGTTTCCGCTGACGGGGCTCAACTCGTTCAATCCTGCGGCTGTACTCGCTGTTCATTCAGGTTAGCCTTGCGTTGATGGATATGCATCTATGAGCTTACCTGTGATGGTAGGAATGACCCAAACGGAGCCGCAGATAAGTATCTTGCTCATGAGCGAGGCATTGGGCATGTACGTTTTACGGGTAATCGTAGTAAGCGTTATTATGGCGATGGCCAGGATAGAGAAGTCAGCGGCCTGAACAGACCACTGACCTACCCAGCCATTGAGATTACATGCCGCACCCGGTGCGATGGAACCTTCATTGGCAATTGCATAGATCCCAGATATCGAATTGTTCAGCGAATTGATGAATTCTGGTATGCGTGGTCAGTCTAGGAATCTCATCTGGCCGTCAAGAGCTCTTACCAGCCAAAGCAAGATTCAATACCAGTGCGTGACGGAAAGACCGTTGCGAATCAGCGTACACAACGTACGATATGAGAACGCACCCTGTGGCAATGAAAGACAGCAGACTGCCGACAAGCGTCGGGATAGCGATTGTGAGATTAAAAGGCATGCTGAGCGGTTGCTGGGATGCAAGGCTGACCAGCGGGACGGCGCGATTATATGTCTGGGTTTCACGATGAGGCCGGCGAACGTACTTGGCTTGAGGTAACTATAGCACATAAAGCTATAGTACATAGGAGACGTACCACGCGCCAGGAACGCTCCAAACCCTAGGCCGATTCCTGCAGCCCAAGCATTGCTGCTAATCGACACACGGGCGCGTAACTACGGTTGATCTCTTTAGCCAGGTATTCAAAGGGCTGCTCTGAGCTAGAGGTTGGTGCCTGTAGCAGCTGTGGTTCAAGGTTTATGGCTGGTGCATGGTCTGAGTCCCGCCTCCCGCGACTTTGGCCTGCGACCCCAGGACGAGTCGATTGCAGGCGTTTTAAGCTCCGAAGAGCTCTAGAATATACAAGTGCCTGGCTACGCAAGCGTCTGCAGGTGGTGTACCAAGCTTCCAGAAGCCATGACCGATCGTGTGCATAGGTGCCATGCATCGCGGCCTTGCGTGCCCGTTAGCATTTCCGGAATGCTGTCCTCTGAATGGTGATTTACGATGGCAAAGAATTGTAAGCCTTGCGCTCGGCTTGCGAGGGGACGATCGCGAGGTTAGGACCGATAGTGCGCGGTCGATGACAGCATGAGCTGGGGTTTAGGTTTGCGCAAGCTCGCTACTCTTGCCGAGGTGAAGACTGACCAGTCACCATTGGCTTGGTACCGTACCCAGCACGTCAACTGCCTTTCTGCCATGCTCTCATCTGGGAAGGAGCAATAAACACCACGCCACACCCGCATCCAGGAGACGTACCGCAGTGCAGAGATGCACCAGGTCCTCTAGCCTTGGGCGTCGCATTCGAAGCGCGAAATTCACCCCTGATACGTTGTCTACTTTTACGAATGCGCTACATGCTCCCCCGGCGGTGCTGGTGGCCGCGCGAATCGCATGCCAGTGTTTCTCGTCGCCATAGATGAACCTGTGGACCGTCCCGCGTGCTAATTGTAGTGCCGGACATTTCTCTTCTTTCTGGACTGACCCTTCTTACGCGATGTTACAGAGTTGGAGGTTCATGTAGATCCTGCTTTCGTTCCTTCGTTCCGCGTTCACTGAAAGGCCCGCGCTCGTCTGGTGGAGAGAACTCCGATAACGATGACCGGGCATCTGGGGGATCTTCCCGCACCCGTCGGAGTCCAGGATCGCAGAAATGTCCTAGGTTCAGCGGCGTCGTTGGAATTACTGAAATCGCAATATCGATGCACCAGCAGCTCGCTACGCACCCGCCAACCCGGATGGTGTCAAGTTGTGGGGACGATGAGGTACTGCAGAAGAACGGCTCAGCCTCGCCGAGTGTGAAACGCAGCTTGGCAGTACAGAGATTCGGGACTCTACACAGTCGCTATTTGCGTGGACCTCGATGAACTTGCGCATTGAAGGGTCCTTGTTATTGCGATGAACAGGTTTGCAAGGCGTACGAAACTCTGGCTCGAGAGTTGCCGTCGTGCATATTGGGAGACGTGAGGGATGGCGGCCCAAGCGCGTTAGATGGCAGCTGTCCTGTAATTTTGACACTCTAATGCAGACAAATCAAGCTTCATACCTCATTGTTGGCGTCGAGATCTGCGTCAAGATCAGCAAAGCCTCCAGGGCTGCAAGGCGTGCCACAACGTTCTTCCAATTCTCCTAACCTTGACTCTTGTTGTTGAAGCGCTGACAAGAAGTCAAGGCGCATCGAAGCTCGAGACAGCACCAGGCACCCGCAAAAAGGAGTGCACTCGGGGAACGGCACGATTTAAAGTTCGCCGCATTTAGCCAGGTTTGCCCAATCGGATTCCCATCCACGCCGTCCCCCAGCTCGGTCGGGTGCATGGCCAATGCTGCAA